ACATTTTTCGCCCTTGTATCGAAAACTACTATTTAAGCTTCTGATATTTCGAAAAAAATTAGTAAACTTGGCGGTCTAAAAACGAAAAAATATAGCTTTAAAATTCGTATGCGGGACGAGATTCGTTAACGTCAACGACAATGGATTTGTCCAAGTTAAGTAACACGCAAAAGTGAAAAAGATGTGTTAAAACTTAAATTAGTAGAAAAAAATGTTGACCTTGTTCCAACTTCATTAGTAAATAATAAAATACAAAAAACAGTACACTGCACATGTAAGTTGTAAGCCTACCTTTGCAACAGTCCCCGGTATAATTCAAATAACGGCACAATCGCTTCGCTAAGAGACTTTTTCCACGCCCTGGTAGTCCTACCATGGACACCAGGAGAGGGCCGAACTGCCCCAGCAGCCCCTTTTTAGGGGCAGGTCTGGATTGGGCTCCTGTAACAATAAAGCGTCCGCTCATTTTGATTGTTGTAATAATACTGAAGCTAATCAAATAAATCGCTCTTTAATAGTACTGGCTGGGTTATTGTTTAAACGTTTATTATTGTACAATGTGCTAATCGCTTTGCTACCGGGTGCGCGCAATAAATATTAACAGAGTTATATAGGTAATAAAAAATTGGTCATTTTGTAGGCCATTTGCAAAAATCGGCTGTAAACTGCGTCACAATAACGCTTGAAATTTGAAGATTAATTAATTAAAGACGCTAAGAGTTGCGGCAAATATTGACAATTAACTTGTTAATTCGGTAATTATTAGACATGTGTTATCACGTAAGTGCAAACAATTGGTTCCACTCTCGATTATTTTCCATTGTTCCAACAGGTTCCTCACATAAACACAATAATCAGTAGTTTTCGAATAGCGAACGCTTCAAGAGATGTGGGTTTTTTCGCATAAATACCTAACAAACTAGTACCAGGAATTAATAATAATCATCTGATCGGTCTTATCGGTGAATAACACGCTAACAGCTTCAAATAGATCATGTAGATTGTTAATAGAGCAAACAAGATAAACCGTATCTACCAAAAAAGTCATAAACAACAGCACTTATTGACTAAATGTGAGGTTGAAACTTTTACGCGACTCATTGTACAAACGTTGTTTTTTTATACAGCGGGTCCAAAAAATGTGATTATTAAAACTCCAGAGCTTTTTATATATCTGCAGATAAAAACCGTTTCTAATTTTATTTTATTATTAGAATTATGTAGGCCAATAGGGGAAAAATGTGAAAAAATCCAAAGTACTTTCCATTCACAGCCTTCAACGATTGAACATTTTGAAAGACTCCTATTAATTTTTTTAATACCCTTAATTGAGTAGTCGCATGTGGTTAATATACGTTAATATCATTCCATGTATATGAAGCAACGTGAGATTTATAGATATAAATAAATATTACGCAATGGAATCTTGTCTTGAAGTCTTAAAACGACATGAAGCTGCGAGATTAATCACAAATGAAGGACTTATCAGCTGATAAAATTGATAAAATGTAATAAATCTTATCGTAACTTTGCCAGGTCTCGGAATGTCTGGAAGTTTCCATGTACAAGGTGACAAAAATCATTCCAATTTGTATTTAAAAATCAATTGGCAAAGTTAGTGCCTCTCTTTTTCCATTCGTCTGATAGTCGCTTACCACTGAAGCATTCTAAAATATCAGAAGTCAATAAGTGCAATTTGGAAGGTAAAAAAGACAGATTTAAAACAGTTTGTAGTAAACAGTATCAAGACTTTGACCAGTTGGCAGACAAGAGGAACACATAAAATCCCAGCTGTTCATCAAGCTACAGCGTTCCTGGATGACAAACCGAATAAATTGGAAGAGGCAAAGTCCGCGAAAATTAAAATTAGAATTTGCACTGTCTATTTTCGAAATTCGATGAACCAGGCAGTTATAGCTTTCTGGCTTCATTTTATTTCAACATTTTGATAAATATTGGTAAATTTAGAAGGCATTTGTTTCGATTCATGCGTTTTTTCGTCTTAAATACTGGGTCTCAATTTTTTTTATTGGGTTAAAGTGTGTTTTTTGCCAGTTTTTCAAGTTCAAGTAACAATGTTATTGAAAACTGTGTAGAACTTGTAGAACTAAACTAAGCCTTGGAGCAACGAAACTTTCCATTTGTTTAAAAAGTGCCTAACAAGAAAGCGCAGTCCAGTGTTTTTGTGTCTTCAATATTTTTCGCAAATTTTGTGTTTTCTCGAAAGAATTCTGCTCAACACACTAGCATTTTCCTTTGGGTGAATAATCGTCAAAAAGTCGTAATTATTTTTTATAAATCTGTGCTAAGCGTTAAATTGCGGACACCCTGTATTATGACTTGTAGGTCATGCACTTGATGCGGCTCAGGGAAATCAACTGTTTTGTACAAAATATGCAAATTGAACCTTCCGATTTCGGTTTGAACAGTGCAAGCAACCGTTGGTTTATACAGCTTCGTTTAAAAATTAATTTTGTTTTTTGTAAGGAAATGCGCATTAGGCTAGAATTACCATACAATCAACCGACCACACAACCACGTCACAAAGGACTTGGATCGCTTTCAAAAAGGTTATTATACAATTTTTCAAGCTTATGGAAATATTTTCCTAATATGCGTCAATCTGCAAATTGAGTGAATTGAGCCGTTTGAAATTTCAATAAAATAATAATTTAGATACAAAACTTGGCCATTTGGAACAAAGTTGAATAATTCAAGCAGAAAACCTTCGGTGCATGCAAAATAATAATAGCTATAGAGCAACGATTAGTTCGCGAAACTACTCGTTAAAGTAAACTGCCTATTAAATATGCAATTAGTTCAAAGCGATGCTGTTCAGTGGCAGAAAATCGGCAATTAATTGAAGCAAAATGATTGATAAACCTAAAATTGGGAATTTGTTTAGATAAAATAGTAATACATAAAAATATCCACTTGGCAAAGCATTTGAGGATGTTTGCCATAGGTGCAAGGGAAACGTCTGGTTTATCACCGGCGATTGTAAATTTGCAAAATTCAAAATAACAGATTTCTGACTTTAAAAAATCGAAATTAATTATTTTCAATTCCACAATTAGAACAAATCATGTTACTGTCTGTTCAAGATTATCATCTTTTGCAAGTCAGTCAAATTGAATTAATTCCACCGATTGTTCGTTCGCATATTCAGTTAAAACTGGATTTTTGTGCGTACAATTTAGGGGATCAAACAGAGAAATTTGTCGACTTCCACCGTCCAAAGGTTAAAGATTTCCGGCAAAATGCCATCTGGAAATTTTAATTGGACAGGAAAATACGGTTCCTAATGCTTGTGCGTTTTGCCATTCGAAAACATGTGCTGGGAACTATTTAAGTATCGTTTGTAACTCGAACTTTGATGAGCGACAGAAAAACCAAAAACTAACAATTATGGCTCCATTGCAGGCGGATTCACCAGGTTAATATGCCAGGGACATTACCTACTTTGCGAAAAAATTAAAAATACATTATCACACACTATAAAAAAGGAGCAAAGCACTTAATTACTAAAAAAAAAATGATGTCAACTCAAACAGTGTCGTAATCCTTCTCATTAAGTCGGGTGTATACAGATAAAATTGGCCTTGTTTATGCTGTTTTGCTCCCGATTTTTGCCGCGGGGACACGAACCATTTTATAGTAAAGCTAATTAAATAAAGTAATCCTCAAAAGGAATCGCGAGATGTGGACTTTGACCCAAGATAAACCGCAATTGTACAACTCGATTATACACTTTTGAGTCGTTTATTTAACCGCAAACTGCTCGCTCGGGTTAATTTCAATCTATACAGTGAAGCAAATAAAAAAAGTGAATGTGGTAAAATGAAGAGCAGTTTGATGTTCATCGTATGGTTGACTGGCCTTTGGGTGATTGTACCTCTTTAGACCAGCGATTCGGTGGAATTAATGCACTATTTCGAGTTAAAACTGTTTTGGTCTTTTGCGCTTTTTTCAACAACTGAATAAGTGACTTTTGCCGAATTTTTTCAAACAACAGATTTTTGCAAGTTAAAAGGTCAGTTATCAAGCCATAGATAAAGACTATTTTTGAACTGTAATCAACTAAATAAATTAAAAAATTCGCAAATACGATAAAATTGCAAAGCAAAACAAAGTCATGCGCTTTAAATCTGCTAAAACGCCAGCAAGTGCGCGACTTTTCAGAGATAATTTTTCCATTGGCTGACTTGTTTTATGTATTCCTCAAACATAATGTATATGCAGCTGTAGTTTATGGGTCAATATCGCACCTGAATGTATAAATGTTAACCCCAATTCCAAAGTTATTATTACCGTAAATCATCATCAGTCACTGTTTCAGGCTCACTCAGTATTCTTATATTATTACTCTATTATTCTTACATTAAAAACCATCTTGTATGCAGCAATTGAATATAACTAGATATTTATTACCCTTAAATTACTTACTACAGAAGATTAGTTTTATCAGATAAATATAAATAGATAGATTTAAGTTTGATTTGAATTGAACCTATATTTATATGGATGTGTTCGTTATCGCATGTTTACTACATTCGGTGTTTGGTGTGGTTTATAGATTCTAATTATGCAACAGTCCATTTGACCTCATACAATTATAGCAAGATTATCAAAAATCAAGTTTAGACCGCATGCAAAGAGTACTTTCAGCAAAATAGTGCTCGCAATTTCTAGTAAAAATAGTCATGTATACAGGATGTCCCTGACTATATTTCTTTTTTTTTTGGGAGTTCTTTACCCAATTCGAATTTTTCAGATTAAAACTTGAGTCACCCTGTATGTTGGGAAACTTTAGGGGGGATTACGTAAGTTTCACCTGAGATGTCTAAGTTCAAGAATGCTGATGGCCTATAAAGACTTTAAATATAGAATTTAAATATAACTTCCTACGACTGATTACATCAATCTATTAATCGGAATAGTTCGATTGTGGATATTTGTGTAGCGTCAATAGGTTGAAAATACAGTTTTATTTAGTTTTATTAGTATTTCGAAATTCTTAATGGATTTTTTCTAATATTGTCTGTTATGCTAAAGGGTGTTGAATAAAAACCGTTTACTTTCGGGCCGCTACTGTACACATAGTTTCTTTTCTAACTAATCATCGAACTTTTGAAGTTATTTTTCTGCCGAAATGAAATGAAAAAAGTATAATAATTAGTGGACTAACAAGTGAAGCAATAGAAAACCAAACTTCCTGTTATATTAGCTAATCGTACGGAAAATGAGGAAACACACTATTATTGCTTGGAAACATTAATAATGGCGCGTTAAGCAAACATTAGAGTAATTTGCGCCTTTAATAAGCGGTAATCGCATGCAATCAAATGCAGCAATGCGCTTCCGATGAAAAAAACACATTTAGTTAAGTAGTTTCTTGAAATGTCCATAATTTGCTAATTACCGTTTGTATACAGGGCCCCATTATAATTATTATATAACGTCCTCAACAAATTCCATTTTTTTTTTATTGTAAAGACTTTAAACAGGCAACGATATTGGATTTTTCGTTTCAACCCACAATATTCATCACAATCATGACGCCATATGGTTCTAACAAGATAAGGCGTGTCCCCATTTTGCAATCACACAAAACTTGGCCCAGCAAATTGAGCGGCCGACCAGATCACCGGATTTCACCCCATTAGACATTTTTTGTTATTGCGTTTATATGAATGGGCCAAATGGCATTAATTTTTAGAAAACAGAAAACGACAGCATTAAGGAAAAAAAAAGTTGATTGTTTGCTATTTTTAGTGCCTTATATCGGCCAACAAAAACTGTCCCCGCTTATTTACAAGTAAGCAGATCGTGTTTCACGAATCTTTTATGGTATTTACGCGCAATTATTTTCATTATCGTCATTCCTGTGCACTGTGCAGTAAAGTCTTTGTTGCATTGTTCGTCACAAAATGTGTTTTTTATGGAATATCGCCGGCATTCTTGGAAATTTCTATTTTCACTATTGTGCCATCGATTAAAGAATTGATGATGATTTTAGATCGGAATTTGGTCCTGAAATTTCTCTAGCACGGTGCAACAGCCTCTGAAGATGCCAGACACGCGTGCTGGCGAAACGTCGGGACTAGATTTCCAGCGACAGTTCCGACAAATTGATAATTTGTTGCATGAATGTTAGGATTTTGAAGGTAACTTAGGCTGAAGCATGTGGGCAATATTTTCTGAATTCATTCATACCTTTGATGTCAGTAAACTGTTCCATTTTCGTAGAATTTTCTGATTCCATTCTGAGCGGTTGTTGTTGAATAATATCGTAGGAACACGGCCGTTTTCGAGTGGAAGCCCCCGAATCTACACTATCTGCTTCGGAACAGCAAGAGTAGTTCATACACAGCGCGTATTGTGGCTTTTTCAACTAAATTCACTTAGTGTTGATAACAACGGAAATAAAACGAGGACAACTAAAGAAAAATTTTGGAAAATTGCTCTGAAAAATGGTCGGAGGATGTGTGAATGATAAACTTCTTTAAGATTAGTCTCATACCAATCCTGTATCTGATTTCAGTAGCCAGGTTTGGCACTTTTGGGAAACTTTTAAAAGAAGGTGTTTGTTATTAAACAGCGGGAGGTGGCTCACATTACCACCCCTGCAACGGAGAAAAGCTGATAAATTCTTGGGGGGGACACGTAAGAGATTCGGTGTTGAATGGCACCCACACTACCAAAAAACACTTGTAGATCTTGAAAACCGACTACTAGAAGCAAACCGATGAAAATCCAACGAAACTTATGTGAAATCTTGAGTTTTTCTTTCTATTTGACTGCTTTGTTTTGGTTTAACACCTGGCCAACTCGACTGAAAGCACACTCGTATTGTTTTGATCTGATATGAGTGGAGTTTTCGATTTTCAACCGGTTTGCGCTTCTCGTTCGCCTGCGGAGTGTCCTGCATATGCGCATTAGGTTTCCTGCGGTGTTAGTGTACAGTTGAGCAGGTTGGGAAGGGGAAAATCTAGTTGATCGCCGGAAAACGCTCAGAACATTTTTTCTTCTAGAATTTAATTATTTCCATCAACAAATTTAATAACGTTCTGGAAAAGTACGCCGGAAATGGAGAAGCGTTTGTAACAAAATTTCGCACAACACTCAAAAGTTTTGCGGAAAATCGCTTACAGATTCAAATTCTGGAACATAGCGCCGGGCATTTGCACATGATTTGGGTATAGCGCAATTGGAACTTATCGCTGTATCGTGTTTTTACGCAAACAAGTCTTGTTTCGGCAAATAAAATGCTTTTAAGTCCCGTTACAGAAGGCGCCGGTAAAAGTTTAGGACACAGTTCCTCTGACAGTTCGATCAATTTCATTAATTGAAATTCGATCCTACGTCAATCGTCAATAGTCAATTTCCAGCTAGGGATGACACGAAATACTTGTCACAGGTATTTTGGAACAGATATCGATATGGAACAGTCGGTACCTGTGACGATGCTGCTCAGTACTAGTCAACATCTGGGATTTCGACATTTCAACAAAGCAAAAAGGCAAATACCTGCCTTTATGCCCTTTGATTCCCGCGGCGTTGTCAATTGGCCTGAGTTTTAGGAAAAGGAGATGTTTTATTCTCGTGAAGTGGTAAGGTTTTGTATGTATGGGAGTGGGACGTGCACCCATGATTCGGCAAATAGCTGTGATGATGAAATGATTACAGATATATGATTAAGAAGACCAATTTTAAAGTTGATTTAGCACCGTCGCTAAAGGCCGTCAATTTTCAGAAAAAATATCATTTGAAATGGACGTCAGTTCTTTAAATATTATAATTTTTAATTTAAATAAAGAAACGATTGTATTTAACAAGCACGTCAACTTCAGATGTTTTGGATCTCAACATTACATTTACGTGGTTGGTCTTTACATTGTACTCTTCAAACATTGCCAAAAGTCGCACTGCATTTCGCATTAGTGATGAAAGTATCCAAATAATGTTTTTTTGAATTTTTTTGTACTATAGTTTGTGAATATATCAGCTTTTCGTTAAAAGTGTGTTATTTACTATTTTCTCTTTGCTCGCCGAAATACTCTTTTTTAAAATGCTTTCTGGCTAAACATTTCTTTATATCATGTCATTTAGGTGCTTATTTTGCAAATGTGAAAACTTTCTCAGGTAAATCATGTACAAAATGTTTCTATTTACTAATAACGGTTGATCTTACAGTTTTCAACCGTTCAGGTTTCATAGGGCTTATCCAAGAATTTATTGCTTCTTGCACTAATATTCTCCTTATTTTTTATCTTCTTTTATGTTCGTACAAAATGTTTCTATTTACTAATAACGGTTTATCTTATAGTTTTCAACCATTCAGGTTTCATAGGGCTTATTCAAGAATTTATTGCTTCTTGCACTAATATTCTCTTTAGTTTTTACCTTCTGTGTGTACAAGTGCTTTTTAACGTTGTCTAGGATTCTGGGCGATTTTTATGAACTTTTTAATATCTGTAGAATCCTTTGCTTGCCCACCATTAACAAAGTGAAGGGCTGAAGAGCTGAAAAGTAATCACAGATCACAGAGTGACCTTTGTCATCTGTGAAAGTAACCTAGTTTAAATTGGAGGTTTTGGATACTTTTTGAAGTTTTCCCAAATTATTAATTAGTAATCAGAAGTTTGTTTTGACTAACGTAACCTCAAACTGACTAGCGCATGTCATTTAAGCAAGGAGTCGATTGCGATATATGCGCTAGTCGTCAGAAGTGTCAGAAGCCATGCATGAGAAATGAAAATGGCGAAGTTTTGCTGATATTAATTTAAAGATTGTGGTTTTTAGTTTAGATTCAGTACTTGAACTAGTTTTAACTAAAGTGAAACCTCAATGACAATTTAGTAGTGGTTTAGTTTTATCCATTCGGGTCATTACGTCCAAAACAAAGCACAACGTAAGTCGAAACCGGTTCAAGTCTCCATGGCATTTCTGTGGAAATATGGCTGCCTTCGCGTGGAATTTAACTACTGGAACATATTAATTTCAAATTTAATTTATTGTTGGCATTTTCATAGATGTCGGAACCGGGAGATGTCCAACAACCGTTAAGCCCCGCTGAACGGGATAAGGTTCCATCTAGGGTGATCATCTCCGAATCTGAAATCACATCCTTGAGCCCAACCGAGTGGGTCCACCGTTGGCACCAGCAGGACTCCTACATAGCCACATTGGAGAGGAAAGTTGATCTTCAAGAAGGTACTTAGTTCAGTTACTATCTTAGTGTCATTTAATAAGCAGGCCAATGTGCTGTATCAATGTTTGGTGCAGTGTTGTGTGAAGTGCGTCTATTTGAAATACTACACTATGCCGGTGCGAAGCAAGTTACAACTGCGGTCGGGTTTTCGTATTATAAGTCCCTGTCTTGCAGGGAATATGTACGAGCTTCGTCAGACTAATGATAAAATCCGTACTCAACTTGTTGAAGCCCAGCAACGTGAAAGGGTGTTGGTGAGGCGTTTAACATCAAAGGAACAGGAGAACCAAGAGTATATGGTCAGTATCCTTCAGAGCAGCCAGCACTAAATGTTCTTAACTATGCAGCTTTGAGTAGTGACGGTGTGGTTACTGTTATTTTTGAAACATCAGTCTCTGTGCAACAAATCTAATGGTATTTTGTAAAGTCCTGCATGGTCAAGCTGTGAATTTATGAAATTTTAGTGATGTGGTGTTGTCCAGCAAGTGCACAAATTACAGAATAGTCCGTTTAAATCATCGATGATCCTTTTTAAAAACATAAATTACAGTACCAGTGTGTCGGAGTAATCTTTAGCAAGTGCTGTTGAAATGTACTGAGAAAACAGTTGTAATTCTGTGATTTAGTTTAATATTGATAGTCATAGTAATGTAAAGCTGAAAGTTCAAGTTTCAATTGTTTTTTTGCGATTATTTTGAAAATTGTATTGGTATTGTTTTTGACAACAAATGGGATACGACTAATTAATAACTCTTTAGCCCACAAAAGGCAGTATTAAGTTATTCATGTTTCACTGGAAAATCTTGACAAAAATAGACGCAGCGAGCCTGTGACATCAAAAGCCATCATGATAGTACGAAAATTAAAACTGAAACAAATCATAGTCCATATTTCTATGTTCACGGGCAACGTTGCTCGCTATAAAACAGGTAGATAAAGGTGCGATCTGCCAAATCTTGTAATAAGGTTATTGTCAAAGTCAAGCAAATCGAATATACCTAGTGACTTTGTGTGGTATATTGATTTACACTTTGATGGAATTAAAAATGAACTTAAAACACTACTTTGTAATTGTATTATTGTGTACTTGTAATACAAGAAAGTTGTTATAAATTTTCCTAAATTGTCACAGGACATGAACGTAACCCAAATAGTTCTAATTTAGCAGCAACGTCATATTTCCATGTATTTTACAAAATCAATATTTTTGCCATATACAGGGTGGTCATTTTCTGAATGCTTGTATGAGTAACTTCTACATTTTTAAAGATAGAGAATCCGTTAAAAATGGGGAGAATTCGATTGCCTATTCATTATCGTTTTCAAAATTTGGGTACCCAACTTGGTTCCTGAAATATCCTGAAGAGACAAGAAATCAACACTTTTAATTATCACATATAACGTAAACTGCTTAACTTAGAAAAAAGCCATTGGTAGAACTTTCGGCGTTGAATCCAATAAACTAGCACTCATTGTCATAGTCAACTTGATAAAAAATAAACTTATGTTTTTTTAAATGGTAATCATAGTAGGCATTTTTTTTGTATTAACTGTTTGTATGTTTATCTCTTCTTTTAACGGTAAAAATTCAAAAGAACATTAAAAATGTGTAGTAGGCTCTGGAAACAAGAACTATATTATCATACAAAGCACAAAACAAAAATGAAAGAACGAATCGTTTAAATTAAATGTTCAAATTGACTTCCGTTTACGTTCAGGCACTTTTGGCATCTTCTAATAATTTCTAATGGCACCTTTCTTATGATTTGTGGACGAATACTTCTTAGTGCTGAACGTATTCCATTTACTAGCTCTTCAATATCATTGGGGTTTGTCATGTAGATCTTGTTTTTAAGAGTACCTCACAGAAAATAGTCCAGAGGTGTTGCATTGGGAATCCAACCAGGAAAATGTTGTAAATATTCACATACAACTCGTGAGTTGTGTAGAGGTGCACCATCATGTTGAAAATATGCCAATTTTTGATACGCTGCAAACGGCAAACTATCCAACGTGTCTTCAAATTCATTTTGTAAAAAGTGTAAATATCTTTTGCTATTTAAATTGTGATTATAAAAGAATGAACACTAATTTTATCGCTAAATTGCCATCATCAAATTTCTTGTTTCCAGAGCCTACTACACACTTTTAATGTTCTTTTAAATTTTACGGTTAAAAAAAGAGATAAACATACGAACAGTTATCTCGTTAAATTCAGAAAAAAATAAGGGTTTTGAGAGGCCCACAGCCAACTATGATTACCATTTAAAGAAAACATAAGTTTATTTTTTATCTCGTAAATCAAGTTGACTATGACAACGAGTGCTAGTTTATTGGATTCTACGCAAAAAGTTCCACCAAGGGCAATTTTAACTTTCTTCTAAGTTAAGCAGTTTACGTAATATGTGATAATTAAAAAGTGTTGATTTCTTGTCTTTTCAGGATATTTCAGGAACCAAGTCGAGAACCTAAATTTTGAAAACGATAATGAATAGACAATCGAATTCTGCCCAGTTTTGCCTATCTTTAAAAATGTAGAAGTTACCCATACAAAGATTCAGAAAATGGCCACCCTGTATAGTGTGCTGAGAGACCTAATTTTCTCATAGTCATTTCACAGCTTTAATATATATTTCGAAGTTGAATATTTTATGTTTTAATATTATCAATATTCGTAATGTGCATACTGAGTTAAATGCCTCTTTTTTTTATTAATGTAGTGATTCTACAGAGCAAGCCACTGTCACAACAAAGTCAGGTAACATTTTTTGACAATAAAAAAGTATTATTTGTGACTATGGAATGACACAAACTTATAATATTAATTGCCCTGTGCAGATTTGTCCATTTTGACAAAGTTATTTTTTTAGACGCTATTTCAAACCTTACATTTACATACGTACATATACAGAAAATCGTTTCTTCGAAAAACCATTGAGAACCTCAACTTGGTCTAAGGATGTGTCAAACCTATTTATAATCGTACACTTAACACCGACAATAGAAGGATGTGGTTTTTATGAAAAAATGTTGAAGAAACGAAAAATTTTATAGAGAAATTAAGTGTTTCTATTATAAATACATATAGTGTACTTTAATATTTAATGTTCATGAATTTAAAAGAAACGTTTAGAGAATCAGAGACATGGTTAAGAACATTTGTGTGCTGTGATATATATTTATTGATACATAGTTAGATATTCCCAGATGATAAAATGAATGTTTTTATTGTCTAGGATGATTTTGAAATTATTTGTTTCTTTTTTCTTTAGTGTCAGCTAAATGAATTAAAAAACTCACAAGCTCCAACAATTCCATCGCTTCGATCTGCCATGTTAGACCCTGCTGTTAACAGTATCTTGCAGCAATTAAGACTCGAATTGCAAGAGACGAAAACTAAACTGGAAAACATCCAAAACGAGCTTTCTGCATGGAAGTTCACGCCTGACAGTAATACCGGTAAACGTTTAATGGCCAAGTGCAGACTGTTGTACCAGGAAAACGAAGAACTGGGCAAACTGACTAGTTCTGGCCGAATTGCAAAACTGGAAAGCGACCTGGCGTTGCAGAAAAGCTTTTCGGAGGAAGTTCGACAGTCTCAGAACGAGCTGGATTCATTCCTAGCGGATTTGGATGAGGATGTGGAAGGGATGCAAAGCACAATCTTATTTTTGCAGACCGAATTGAAACGATCAAAAGAAAGTGCACAGACTTTACAGAAGGAAAACAGTATGTTGAAACTAGCTAATGGTCGAACAAACGGTGAAAATAGTGGTGTTTGTGATACAGAAAGGACGGACTCTGATAATGACTTAGATCGGACACACGCTAAACGAGTTAGACGATCGTCAGTTTTAAGTCTAGACTTTAACGAAGATGATACGCTTGTGATAGGTACCAATGGAGACGCCACTATGTCTTCGGATATTGAATAGGCGCTAATCTTAATTGCTTTACTTTTGATCAAGTAGTTTTTGTACATTCCTTGTGTTCCTAATTTTATTTCACGTGTAACATACGGTTGTTTCCAACATTAAAATAAAATAATAAAAGTATGTACATAGGTATACATATGGACTAGGCAAAATTCGTATCTCCAAGGTTATTGTAATTTATAGGCGGAACCCCGGAGAAAAGGCACATTGTCCCTGTGTAACTTTTTTTAAATATATAAGTTAAAGCTGAAAATAGATTTTAAGTGTCATTGCGTTGAAGAACAGCTGTAGATAACCCTTTACTTTATAATGCTGCTGTCTTGTTTAATTTGTTACTTATGTTGATGTCTGCTTTCTGCCGAGGCGTGGGTAACAGGGAAAATTTTATCAGGTAAAATAAAGGAAATTATTAGTTAATGTATAAGAACTCAAATTTCAATCATATGACTCAAGACTACTTAGTGTTTACTGTTTAAAAATGTTTGAGGCATTCTTGCACATTTCAGAAATGGAGACATATTTCACTTTAAATTTTCTAATAAAACTTATTTTAATTTTGATGTGTAATCGAGTCTAATCTGATCCTTTCAGAGCTGCATCATTACGCAGATACAGTAATTTTCTATAACATTTTATCCCTTTCAGAAGTCGTCTTAACTTTAATATAATTTTATAACGAGTTTATGCAGTTTTTGTCTCTGTCTAGTCTCTGTAAACCGGCTTTGCCGGTGATGGGTTTTTGGCAACGTGGCTCCCAAGAACATCATGGCAACCCATGATACAATGTATACAAAGTAGTTTATTAATCGGTCGAAAACTCGATTTTCGTGCGCACATGACGACACTGGTTACCACTTTGGTAAAGTGAACAGCTGATCCCATTTAAAATTCATGTCACCTAGACAGATTTTCACTGGATTCAAAACGCAATAGTTCAAAAATGGAAAGTTATATGAGGATATGGTTTACAGCATTGTATAGCTCAATGCCTTGAAAATCGGGTTTGGGACCTGATTTGGGCTTATTGGGAAGAAAAATACCCTAAATAATTATTTACAAAATCTCTGATTTTCAGCGTATTAGCGTGCTGTGTTGCCAGAGTGTCATTTGAGAAATCGGGTTGAGCCAAACGAA